TTTTTTAATGCACAAACTATATGCATTCTGATTCCGTTTCGGACATTCCTGATTTGAATATTTTCAATAATTTTCAATAGTTGAATTTTGGCAATAGGTGAACTGTTAAATGAGTGATTTTGAGATGAGTCACTGTAGTGCAATTTGACTCTCTTATGCTGAAGTAATATGTATTACTAAACTTAAAGGGTGATTTTTATGTGGTTTGATCACTATCTTCTCAACGTAAAAGATTAAGGCAGTTATCAAAGTTTGCAAAAACATTTTTAATTTTCCAATAAAGGATGATACATTTTTACATGATTTATTACACATAATGACCTCTTATCAGATTTTGAATCGTTCATTCCCTAGCACTGTTGTCTCATTGATTCACCGCTAGTTGTCAGCAGTACTTAAAAAAAGTACTAGCAGGAATAGATACTAGGTAGACACTGTTTTAAGCAATTAAAACCTGCTTGCGTTTAATTGGAACAGCTTAAGCAATTGATACAAGTCTAGTTTGAGCTTCCCTTAAGACTTTGGGGGGGAAAATTGACAGTACTGACGAGAAAAGCAATAAATATTCGATTCAAGTTTATTTGTGTAGCACTTTACACAATACATATTGTTTCTAAGCAGCTTTACAGATAATTCTTGTTTCAATGTTACAGTAGGGAAATATTCTGTTATCAGCCACAGTCAAAGTAATATGTGCGTAATATACATATAGCACATTATGAGGTTAGTTAACATCATAAATTCAGTTAAGCAGACACAACAAACATGTTAGGCAGAAATTACAACTTGTGCTCATAATGATTACAATATAAGGATAATATTTGACAGTTTTGTATGTCGATCTAAAGTTGTTGGATCCAAACTGGAGTTGCCGTAATCTAATTAAACACACCTATTTAACAAATACAAATATTTATTCTTAAATGATTAAACAGCTCAACAATTGTAGAAATATAAAATCTAAAATAAAACTTTGTTCTAATATTCTTAAAATTAAATTTTGTTGTATTTGTAACTCAACAATTCTGCTTTAAATTTGGATACATTTTTTTAAATGTTTTTGTTTTCTGTTTGTTTCTGTTTTTGTCTTAATGGTTCAGTAGTAAAATGTTACATATAAATATTCAAAGGTAATTAATACCTCTATGACTACATGACTGAACATGATACTTCTGAACCCAGAAGAGATATGCTGTTTTTTTGACCAATTGAGAATCCAGTTCCCAGGAATTTGGTCTCCACCCCATCCACACCAGCAGATGCACCTGTGTCAAATCCAAGTCCCACTTTCAGACCAACTGGACCGGCTTTAGCTGATGCACTGGCGACTTCAGCCCGAGCCATTGCTCTGACTTTAACCACACTAAATTCAGTATCATATGAGGCATTTGGGCCTTTAGCTTCTGCCTCAAGTACACTGAATTCAGCACGAGCTCGTCCAACTCCTGCTTCTGTAAAGTATCCAGCCCTGGGAATGCTCTTTCCTGATTTGTCTTCAAAACCTAAAGCATATGAGCCTTGTTTAGCATAATAACCGCCTTCTACAATGATATTTAGTGGTCTGTCAAATGTGTCAGTCATGCCAATTATAGATGTTGTATCTTGAGCTTTTGACTTTTTTATAGTAGGTTTTGCGATTTTATTAATGTCACCGTTTTGCCACTGTTTGGTAGAAGAAGATTCTTCATCTGCAAAAGAAACAGATGAGCTATAATGCAGTGGAAACAGACACAGATGTTTAGAAAAGCATTATATAAATGTATGCCGTTTTGAGCTGAACATTGTAAATGTGACAAGTTTGTTTTACTCAACCTTGCAAGCTAGTATTTCTGTATTTGGTGTGATTGAGATTTGGTTTGCCTACATCTTCATAGTGTGTTAGTAATACTATATTTTTACTTAATATATAATATATTTTTAATTGAATAAAGACCCATATTTGACCTATTTTATTCAGTGTTTGGGAATATTTCGAAACATATAACAAACTACATTGAGAAAATTAAGAAGTACATAAATACACAAAATTAAATACATAAATTAACAAATAACGCTAAAATGTAGAGTTTATGCAAAGTCAGTGTTAGTGAATACAGACCAACCATCCCAATACGCTTACCATTTTTGTCATCTCCATGGTGGAAATGTTTGGTAGTGGGTATATCAGAGTCTTCATCTGCAAATAAAACAAATGAGCTTTAATGCAGTGCAAATAGACACAAATATGTAGAAAAACAACAAGCTTTATATAAGAATGCACTTACCATTTTCATCATGTCCATGGCGGCTTAGTTGTAGTTTTTTAGACATTTTAGTGTGTCACAAGTTCTCAATCTCAATAAGTCTTTGGTGGAGTGTCGTTGTGTCTCAGTCAGTACCCCTGTCCCCTATACAGTATATACAACATCAACTGAAAGTGAAAGCCAAAAACGAGAAGTCCCACAGTAGGTGTGATTGGAACAGCCCACGCCCCTTGATCACTTTTGATCCCATGTGGAGCCCATTGTCACTTAAAAGAATTGTACAAACGGAAGTGGTGTATGATAAACACATAAACTATTACTTGTATTATTTGTTATAATATGTCCTGTTACTTTTTAAAACAGAAGCCCTAGACCATAACATCATATCCTGTCCGAAAAATACTAGTCTAGTTTGATCATCCCTTAACAAAAATACATCACAACACACTTAAAAATTAAGATTCTTTTTTTGCATCAATGGTTCCATGAAGAAAATGTTATTCCAACATCCATGAAACCTTTCCAGGCAAGGTTCTTTCTTTTTTAGTGTAGTGTGTGTGTTTGCAGAAGTCACACACTCTTCCTTACTTGAAAGAGGATTTCCTGCAAAATCTTGAAAGGGCCAGATCATCTCGAAACTTCAGTGTTTGCTTTGATTCCCAGGCTCAAGGTGTGGGTGTTTAGTCTCTCTGTGTCATTAGGGGATTTCTGGAACATTACCAATAAATTACAGTTTTAATCAGTCCTTTCAGTTTTCTGGGATGAGAAGTTGTAACATTACCAGTAAATTAGCATTTTGATGCTACGGTGAACATCCATCCATTTATTCTCTACACACTTCTCCTCTGTTAACGTGACAACGATGTGCTAGAAGCAGGAAAAGTTTTGCATACAGACGAGAATGTTGTCAAAATTATCCCTGTATTACGCCAGGCCAGTAGCTGGTGATGTAACTTTGTAAAGAAACACTACACACCTGCGCACATACGGTCCTGTAGTCTGCCGTTGTTGTTTTGGTTGTCAAGTACTCACTCATACCTACAGACTGAACACGTAATACACATGCGCATGATGCCACCGTTTTCACAAAATCACATTTTTGTAGTTTACGTGGAGATGATAACGGTATCATTTTCAAAAACTTGCACTTTGAAACCAATTTTCAGGCCCCCAAAACACTGTTGTCGTGTAAATGAATGGCTATAAAAAGGTTTTAATTTTTTAGTTGAAAAATGTGTCATGTAAACGCCCCTTAAAAATAATGTTTTCAAAAGGTGTGTCACAGAACAACCATTCTTTTTTGGTTCCCTAAAGAACCTTCCAGTGAACAGTTCTTAAAAGCAGCATTTTTTTCTTAGTTTGAAGAACATTTTAATCATCTAAAGAACCTTTTTCCATTTGAAAGGTTCCATGGATGTTAAAGGTTCTTCATGGAACCATTAACCTTTATTTTTAAGAGTCCATCACAGCACATGCAATGTCTGGATATGCTGCGTAAGAATAAGAAAACTTAAGCACTGCTGCTTTTTAATTGTTTTTCAATGTAAACATATAGTAGTCAGCATCAAATGCTGGGATACATGTAAGATAGGTTGACATTTTTACAGGATACAAAGGAACTTCAAAGTAAAATCACTCATAATATGAGGGGCCAGTGGCATAAACACAGTCTTAAGAACTAGTTTGACCAACTAGCAATTAGTCAAGGTAATCAGATTAAATTAGACCAATCAAGCTTTTTTAATTACATTAACTAACTTAAAAAAGTCTTAAAGAAAAAAATTAGGTAACATACACACACACACACATATACAGTATATATATATATATATATATATAGCACGGGTATATTTGTAGCAATAGCCAAAAATACATTGTATGGGTCAAAATTATCGATTTTTCTTTTATGCCAAAAATCATTAGGATATTAAGTAAAGATCATGTTCCATGAAGATATTTAGTAAATTTCCTACCGTAAATATATCAAAAGTGTATTATCATTAATAATATGCATTGCTAAGGACTTCATTTGGACAACTTTAAAGGCGATTTTCTCAATATTTTGATTTTTTTGCACCCTCAGATTCCAGATTTTCAAATAGTTACATTTACATTTAGACATTTAGCAGACGCTTTTATCCAAAGCGACTTACAAATGAGGACAATAGAAGCAATCAAAATCAACAAGAGAGCAATGATATGCAAGTGCTATAACAAGTCTCAGTTATTCAGTCTTAACACAGTACACGTAGCAAGGGTATTTTTATAAATCATATACTTCTAGAGGCACATATGTCTGAAGTAATGAATTTAGGTAAATGGGTGCAGAGCCAGTGGTGGTTTTGTAGGCAAACATTAATGCCTTGAATTTAATGCGAGCAGCTACTGGTAGCCAGTGCAGATTGATGAACAGAGGTGTGACATGCGTTCTTTTCGGCTCATTAAAGATTAATCTTGCTGCTGCGTTCTGGATTAATTGTAGAGGTTTGATAGAAGTGGCTGGAAGACCTGCCAAGAGAGCATTGCAATAGTCCAGCCTGGATAGAACAAGAGCTTGAACAAGGAGTTGTGTTGCATGTTCTGAAAGAAAGGGCCTGAACTTCTTGATGTTGAATAAAGCAAATCTGCAGGACCGGGCAGTTTTAGCAATGTGGTCTGAGAAAGTCAGCTGATCATCAATCATAACAAGATTTCTGGCTGTTTTTGAAGGAGTTATGTTTGATGTGCCTAACTGGATGGTGAAATTGTGATGAAACGATGGGTTTGATGGAACCACAAGCAGTCTTGTCTGCCTTGGCAAGGTTGAGTTGAAGTCAAAATAGTTGTATCTCGGCCAAATATTGTATGATTTAAATCAAACTTCGGTTATCAATACATAGGCTACATAAAACACGTGCATATACACCTATAAATTACACATATACATGGATGTTCAAAAAAAATATATGAAATATACGTGCACACTAATATGAAATCCATACCAATACATCTTATGTTAGTAATGAATGCATATACACTTGTGAATAACTTGCGTATACATATATACTTGACACATGCATACACCTATAGACACTCGCTTATACGTATAAACTCGATCCATGCATACACCTACAACAACACACGCACATACATATAAACTCGCTGCATGCAGACACACCTATACATACTCGCATATACAGTACATATAAACTTGATCCATGCATATACACCTATAAACACTCGCACATAAATATAAACTCGATGCGCGCATACCGATCCATAAAACACTCGTGCATACATACAAAATAACATTCACAAATGTATTCAATTCTGATAGAAAGACGCATGCTTTAGTTGTGTATATACATATATGCAAGTGATTTCATATGTGGATGTGCGTGAACTTTTCAGTGCAAACAGAAGGCATTTCAGTGTAAAAGGAAGCCGTTTGAACGTAAACGGAAGTAACCTGGCTATTTGCCGCATTTGCAATGATGGACAGGGATCGTGCTCTCTCTGAATGCACTAAATGCTTTGTGAACGCTTTGTGAATCAAAAAGCGTAATTTTTCGTTTTGGTTTTATTTTTTTTTCATTTGGTGCATTTGAACGGAGTGTGATGAAAACAAAATTTAAAAAATTAGAAAAACATCTGAAATTCGTTTATTATGCCCAGGAGAAGGTTTAAATATGCGATAAAGTACATTCGATTCAACTGAATTAGCAATTGATCTTATAATAGTGGGCGAAGCAAAAACATTTAGCAAAATGCTAATTGCTTCAGCTGTAGCACGATCCCTGTCCATCATAGGCCAATTTCACAAGAATCGGAAGTTACGTCACCACTGGGTACACTGTAAAAAACAACCTATAGCATCTACTCAATAAAATTCTCAGTTTGTTTGGGTAGATTCTATCCTAGGGTGACCATACGTGCCATTTTCCCAGGACGCGTCCTGCATTTGGTGGTTATCAGTGTATTACAAAGGTACAAAACAGATTTCAGTACTTCAATAAGGTTGGTATATTAACATTATATCAGTTAATGAAATTACGGTATTTAACTGTAAATTTAAGTTAAAACCGTAAAGCCTAAAACGTTGCTACCGTACTTTTTACGGTAAAATTCCGGCAACCACAGCTGCCGTTTTTTTACCGTAAATTTTACGGAATTTTTTTTACAGTGTAGGCCTAGGCTAATTTACCATGTTCTGTTGTTCATGTGGTAGGCGCATATGACAAAAAGGCAAAGAAAACATTTTTTTTTTTTTAAGAAAAAGAAACAAAAAAGAGGAAGACATTTTCTGCTTGCATTTGCATTTCTTTCTAAATGTTGATGGATAGGCCTATTCTATGTCATTTAGCCTTAAGAAACGTTTAGGGGTTATTTTCTACCCTGAAGTTTATGGGAAAGGTGATGATAACATGATCTTCAGGAAAAATGACATTTCATGTAGCCTACTTTATTACATTTGTTGATGAATGAATATTGTCTAATTATTTCCAGTGATGAACTTTAATCAGAGAATTGACACTGTCATCAATATTTTCTAAAAATCCAAAGTGAAAACATGGGTGTGTATCATATAGGCTAAACCATAAAATTGACTAGTATATTATTATGGTTCTGTAAAAAAAAGTGCAATTAAAAAGAGTTGAAGCATCCAGTTCAGCAGTTAAAAACTGCTTCGTATGTTTGTGGAAACTGTATATATTTAATATTTCAGGATTCTTCGATGAATAGAAAATTCATAAGAACAGCATATATTTTGTAACATTGTAAATGTCACTACTGTCACTGTATTTGTAGTAAAACTGTGGTTATAAAAACAAAAACAAAAAAAAACCATTACAAAGTCTTGATTTTGTTTTGGGGGTGTACTAGAACAGGCTCTCATACTAGGTTGTTTGAAAAACACATTATTTTTCACAAATTTTACATTATTACAACACCTCTCTCCCCAGTCTTTGTGATATCACAAATCCCAGAAAATATGCGTTGTAGTCCAAACGAGTCATTCGTTGTAGTTTTTGCGACAGTGAATCATTTTGCGACGCAATGGTTTAACTGATTCTGAGTTTCGAAAAGCTCTGTTTCAACAATCACTACGTGCTTTTTAAAATCAAAATTCGAAAAACTCTTTTGATCTGGTTTTTGCTAGTGAATCGCTTGAGGTGAAAGATCGATTGGCGAGTTTTAATCAATCGGAGCGGTTCCAGCGTAAATGACTCACTCAATTAATTCGGTTTGTTTGTTCCTGCGTGGCTCTTTTCCACTGAAACACTTCTGAAACACTTCTGCTCCCTTATATGTTCTTACTCCACACATGTATTAAATGTGCGCAATTTTTTTAGTGTAGGCTATTTCTTTAAAATCTCAGGTAATATCAATGGCGTGACCTATTTCAGATGCGGCCGAAATTACAACAGCAGTGGTTACATACACATATATTTAATTGTTAGATCAAAATTATTGCTAGGGACAATTTAGTAGTCGCTGGATATTGGTAAGGACATGTAATAGCGTCTCTACAAAACTCTACAGCCTTGATTGAATGCATCCTTGAATAATTTTAAATCTTACTTAAATATTTTGAATCTATGCAACTGAGGTGGTATTTTGTCAGATATGCAACTGAGGTGGTATTTTGTCAGATATGCAACTGAGGTGGTATTTTGTCAGATATGCAACCAACTGAGGTGGTATTTTGTCAGATATGCACTAATTTGCATAATTTTCCAGAGCATATTTTGTTCACCTATCAGAGTTGTTCCACAAAGGAGAGTTCGTAGTTCTCTTATTATCACCCCGGTAAGTTATAAAATACTGTTAGCAGCCAGGGAAAAAAACAAAACAAAATACATCAGTATGTTTTTAGGAAGAAAATGTTATATTAATAAGGTGAATGTCTGAAAAGTAAGTGTGACAGTGGGAGAAATAAAAGTATGTTCAGATATTAAAGATAGTCGCTTTATGTGCTGTAGTAAAGATAGTTTAATTTACTTTCACTGACAGTGATAAATTCAGAGCCACAGAAAAGTTTAAATAAATAAAAAGTAATATTGGAATATATAAAATGAAATCAGTAAACTATGAAAATAATTAGTAAATATTTAGATTTGCAATAATTAAACAAATAATACATGTAATAGTAGAGAACTGTAATGAGAAGGGGAAAAATGGAATGATAAAACTTAATGGCAACTAAACGTTTTTAGGTATTTATAGTAATATTTTTTTCACAGTGTAAATCATTTTTTATTTTATACAAGAAACTATATACATGCTTTTTAAATTTAACTTTTTTTCCCTCTCATATTTGAGGGTTCTTAGTGTGTAAAATATTGAAAATCCCTGGCTGAAATCACACACTTTTCCTCTAAACCTGCTCTTTTCTTCACAGGTACCTTACAGATGAAGGAATCAAGGAGTGTAAAAGTTCATCAGAGAAGGAAAAAACATCACTGACTGACATCATCCAAGTAGCACTAAACGTAAGTGGTTTCCTTTTATATTTACCCTTTCCGTTTTCTATTTACTCATGTAATATGTCTTTGTCCATTTGTGATCATGTATATTTTGGTTTAGGCTCTTCCATAGTAGCATCTACACACTGAGAAAGCGAACAAAAATAAATACCATTATATAATTCACAGAGTGATCTGAGACCCATAGGAAAGAGCTTTCTGCCGACGGACATCAACAGTGGACGAATAGAAAAGGTACATTTGTGTATTAAAATAACCGGCTTGACTTATGTTGATCATTAGAAACTGGATTTTGCCAGTTTAAGCTGAAATCTAACATAATGCATAATTATAATATAAATAGACTTTTTGCACTTGCTAATGCTGCCCACAAGATGGCGCTGTTATTAAAGAGAACATTAGCAGAGGCTGTAATAAAGATAGATGGAGGTAAAAGAACATTTGTTTGGTCAAAAGGACGTGACATTACTGCAGAATAATGACTGGGATCTGGTTTCCGAGAGCTGCGTTTCTCTGTAACGCTAATTTAAACCCACATGTTTATGAGCTTGATGCATTACATTGGAGTGTTTTATCTGTTCGATGCGAAATCCCTCTCGTTCTGCCGCAGTTGGAGGGCCCATGTGTCCTTCAGGTGCAGAAGATTCGTAATGTCGCCGCTTCTAAAGATCACGAGGAGTCGCAGGCGGCGCCCAGAATGCTGCGTCTGCAGATGACGGACGGACAGACATCGTGCACCGGCCTCGAGTTCAAACATCTGTCCAAAATCAGGTACAGCTCATGTGTCTGTGGATATTTGGACCTTCCTTGTCATTTTAATGCACTACCTGCAAGTAGGGATGTGTAAAACGACATCAGCTTGTCAGTGGGAACTAATGCCCTTGTATAATTAGACTAATTGACAGTCAGGTCCAGGTTGACACATTTCCTGTTCTTAATGTGGGACGCTAATTGCAGCAAGATGGTGCTGGTTTAATGGGATTGAATCATGCTGACAGCTGATAGTATGATAATACTTAATGACGGTGTGCTAAAATAATTTCTTCCATTTAAAATTCATTCATCCACTTGCACTAAAAATGTTGAAGCTAAAAGTAAAATCAGAAAAAAATACTCATTAGTGGATGCCTAGTAAGAGTAAGTAAGCTCCACAAGCTCCGGGGGCTTAATAAAGTCCTTCTGAAGCGAATCAATGCATTTGTGCAAGAATAATATCCATATTATTATCCCTTTGTTTCATTCATCTCACATTCGTAATGCAATGTCAGCTCAAGAGCATTGCATTGTGGGCTACAGAATTTCATGTGGTTATAGTACACATGGCAAATGCATGTGGGATTTGCATGTATTCATGAAGTATGCTCACTATGCACACTACATACATCAGAAATAGTATGAGTGATGTGGAATCTGTGCCCGCAGAGATCTGTAGAAAGTTCCCTCCGCCTTTTTAGAGATTTTGGCTAATTTATTCAAACTTATTGCTATCAAACATGATATTAAAGCGTAAACGTAAAGTTTTGGCAAGTGACTGCGGTTTTAAACTTCCCTCACTCACCTTTATGAATGAGTGGCTGTAAAATCTAGTACCTCAGATATTTAATTGAAGCACTTCTAATTGGGCTGTATGATTTAATGAAATAATGTCTTGGCCCGTCAGACACAGTGAAGTGGCCCATAATGAGGCCAAAAACCCGCCATTTGATTAAACGTAGCTCTTAATATGATAAAGAGGTCCTGTAATTGCCTTGAGCCAGACTAAAGACGTTTTGATGTAGTGGGGAGCCGCATAAAAGGGTTTTTTTTCACTATGAATTGATGTTCACAGAGTCATTCAGGGTCATGTTATTGCGCTGCTTTTTAGGTTACTTCTCTTTCACTCCAGGAACCTAAAACATCAATGTCATTTAGAAATGCGGAAAAACAGTGTCTTTGTGCAAGAAAGATTCAGGTTGCATGCCAAGAATGTGTCTCTGTTGTTGCATTGATTCATGCGTTACTATAAGTCCCTACTATAGGGAAGTCGTTGCCTAATGGTTAGACAGTCGGACTCGTAACCCAAAGGTTGCGGGTTCGAGTTTCGTACCGGCAGGGATTGTGGGTGGGGGGAGTGAATGTACAGCGCTCTTTCCCACCTTCAATACCACGACTGAGGTGCCCTTGAGCAAGGCACCGAACCCCCAACTGCTCCCCGGGCGCCGCAGCATAAAATGGCTGCCCACTGCTCTGGGTGTGTGTTCACGGTGTGTGTGTGTTCACTGCTGTGTGTGTGCACTTTGGATGGGATAAATGCAGAGCACTAATTCCGAGTATGGGTCACCATACTTGGCCACATGTCACATCACTTTCACTTTTTTATAAGTTTTTTACTGAACGTGTCTTAACTGCTTAAAACAACTTGTCATTTTATAATTAAATAGTGTATACAAAGCTTTAAATTGTGAAGTTACAAATGCATGACAAAATACACCCTTAATTGTAATACTTAATGTGAAGAGTTTGTTTAAATCATTAGCCTTAATATGAGCAAAAATTACCATGATGCTTAAAGGAACCGTACACACAAAAATGAAAATTAGCTAAAAATGTTCTCACCCTCAAGCCATCCAAGATGTAGATGAGTTTGTTTCTTCATCAGATTTAGAGAAATGTAGCATTGCATCACTTGCTCACCAGTGGATGCTCTGCAGTGAATGGGTGCCGTCAGAATGAGAGTCCAAACAGCTGATAAAAACATCAAGTAATCCACACCACTCCAGTTCATCAGTTAATGTCTTATGAAGCTGAAATATGCATGTTTGTAAGAAACAAATTCATCAATATGTTTTTAAACCTCAAACCATTATTTCCAGGCCAAAATATGAGTCCATAATAACTTGTCCTCCAGTGAAAAAGACCATCTCCTGTTGTCTCTCACATCAAAATCCAGCCACATATTTGTTTAGAGCTGTTTTGGCTTGTATCTGTGCAGATTTCTCTCCTGATTCAGACCAGACGACTTTTTAAATGAAGTAAGCAATGTTATAAATAGAGGACTCATATTTTAGCTGGTTTGAAGTTTAAAAACATCTTAATAATGGATTAGTTTTTTTACAAACACGCAGCTTTTGCCTTCACAAGATGTGAACTGATGGACTGGAGTGGTGTGGATTACTTGTGGATTATTGTGATGTTTTTATCAGCTGTTTGGACTCTCATTCTGACGGCACCCATTCACTGCAGAGCATCCATTGCTGAGCAAGTGATGGAATGTGACATTTCTCCAAATCTGTTCTGATAAGGAAACAAACTCCTCTACATCTCGGATCGCCTGAGAGTGAGTACATTATCAGCACTTTTTCATTTTTGGGTGAAATATTTCTCTAAAATAACAGCTCTGTGTTACACTGAAAAAAGTGGTGTAAGGTTTACTTTGAAATTGCTAGTAAGTTTCAGAAACTGTTATAAACAAATTGCAAATAACACATTGAGTTAAACATGACATTTCGAAGTAGAAAAGACTGAAATAGTATCTTCTTGTTACTTTTACTCCATGAAATCTGACACTGTGCAATCTTGTAAAGCCGCTTCAAACTCAAACAACCTTTTCTGCCCTTTTCTTGTACTCTCCTTCCTTTAACCCCAGTTTCAGACCTTTTGATTGGCTTAAACCTCACCAATCCCATGTCTCCATTACCGCTCTGGCCGGGCATCAGCCGTCGTGATGGCCGTCGGCCAGCAGCTACAGGTGGAGACTGTGTTGTCGTGCCGTTTGAAGAACAGAGCCCTCTTTATTCATCTGTTCTTTGGCTAACTCTCTCCTTCATCCATCCCTGTCGCTAACATGCAGAATGAAACTATCCACTGTTCATTTGAACCCAAAGCTTCCTTTATTCAAGCACAGAACAGACATGCATTATTTTAAAGTGTGTACGAAGGCTTTGCACACTTATAAACTGTGGTTTGACTTTGGTTATGTACATTATGAATAAGACTGAGTTGTTTTTACAGTTCGGTTTGATGTCAAATTTGAATTATTTCACAAAAGAAGATTTTGATTTAAAATAAATGCTGTTTTTTTTTTTTTTTTTACTTTCTATTCATCAAAGAATATTAAGCAGAACAATTGTTTTTAACATTGATAATAATCAGAAATGTTTCTTGAGCATCAAATCAGCATATTAGAATGATTTCTGAAGACTGGAGTAATGATGCTGAAAATTCAGCTTTGATCACAGAAATAAATTACATTTTACAATATATTCACATAGAAAACAGTTATTTTAAATTGTAATAATATTTCACAATTTCTTACAGTATTTTTGATCAAATACAGCTTTGGTGAGCAGAAGAGACTCAAATATTTTAAAACCTTACCGACCCTAAACTTTTCAGTGTTTCATTCAGTGAATTTAAAAAGTGCATGCAAATAAAACCAAAGCTTTCTTCATTCATTTGCACAGAAAGGACATCCATTATTTCAACGTGTATATAAACTGTAGTTTGACTTTGGTTATTTACATTACAACAATGAGATGGAGTTATTTTTACAATTCAGTTTAGTGTCACTCATTTCAAATAATTATTTCACCTTCAAATGAAAGTGAGATTGTTTGAAAGAACAGAAGCATTGTACTGGAACAAACGAGAGCGTTCGTATCGAATCCTACATCGCTTTGAGCTTCGTGTCGATGAACCGGTCAGGAAAGTCTGTAATTGCGCTGGTCACGTCTCACATTGAGTGCTGTCAAACTCCCCGGACTCTTCTAATTAGAGGACCAGGGAAAGTTCGACTCCACTTGTATTCTTGAGAGCGAGTTTATTTGGCGTGTAGGAGAGCGGGGAGGTGTGCGTGCAATGTATTTTTAGCAGGAGCTGCTTCTGCAGTGCAGAGTGGTGCATTAACATTTGATTGGGGTGCAGGCAAGGGGACATATTTGAGGAAATAAGCCTGCGTTTTGGAAAATTCACAGCTCCACTTATTTCCTCGGGGTATTAGAGTGCTTGTGAGGGAAAATAGAGTTTCTTCCTCTCTCTCAATCCATCCCTTCTCCCCCCTTTAATCTTTAAAGTCAAACAGCCAGTTCTTAATCCCAATTTACAGCAAATGCCTCTCACTAACTAAAGCTGAAACACATCGGAGAGAAAAAACCTGATTGACAACGAGGAAATAGAAGCAAGTAAAGCAGAAAAGTGCAATTATGAATTTTAAATTCTCTCACTCCCTTTTTTTTTTTTTTTCTTGGAAAGTCATTGCAGATGTCAAATAAGGAAAACCGACCTATTTTTTGGGTGAATCTCTGGAAAACTCTCAAGAAATCCCTGGGTCACAATATACCACATAATTACAAGGGATTCAGAAATAAAATGTGTGAAGAAAATTATGATTATTTTAAGAATATTAAGAGTTTGACATCATCTTTATTACAATTAAACTCCAAATATTTGTAAAAAAAAAAAAAGAATTATAAGATTTCTATTTGCCTAAATATATTTAGGGATGCACCGAATATTCGGCAACCGAAATTATTCGAATAAGCGAAAAGGCCGAATAATATGTACCGAACTTGTCATAACTTGTTTCATTATCAAAAGTAACTATATATATATATATATATATATATATAATGCAGTAAATTTTTACTTATTTTAAAGTAAATTAAATTTTATTAAACTGCTAAAAATGTGATCAAATCTTAATATTTTTAAAAATAGACATTGTCTTTATTTAAAATATAATATCCATTTTTTTTCTCTTTCGTTTTTTTTACACTACTGTTCAAAAGTTTGGGGTCAATAAGATTTGTATTACTTTTATTCAGAAAGGATGCAATGAATTGATTACAAATTATAGTAAAGACATGTTATGTTACAAAATGTCTATTTCAAAGAAATGCTGTTCTTTTGAACTTTCTGTTCATCAAAGAATATTTAAAAAAATGTGTCAGTGTTTTCAACATTGATGATAATCTGAAATGTTTCTTGAGCAGCAAATCAGTATATTAGAATGATTTCTGACGATCATGTGACACTGAAGACTGGAGTAATGATACTGGAAATTCAGCTTTGAATCACAGGAATAAATTACATTTTAACAGATATTCAAATAGAAAACTTGTAATAATATTTCACAATTTTACTGTATTTTTTATCAAACAAATACAACCTTGGTGAGCAGAAGAGACTTCTTTCACATAAAACAAAAACCTTGCTGACTCAAACGTTTTCAGTGTTTCACTCCGTTTATTTAAAAGAAAGCAATTGATTTAACCCTTTAATTTGATTTCTGCTCCACTTTCAGTCTGAACACTCCTCCTGGAACCAAAGTGAAGCTCCTGGGGGACGTTCAGGTTAAAAACGGCATCCTGCTGTTGGACGATTCCAAGATCACGGTTCTCGGAGGTGAAGTGGATCACATGATCGAGAAGTGGGAGTTGCAGAGGGTGAGGTTCAAAATTCTTTAATATGCCATAGCACAAGCTGTCTGTTTAACTCTGAGTGTCAGAGTTGGTGTAAAACATGAAACTACACTAATTTACGACGCAGGAAACCTTCATTATAAGTGGGCTCTGGGGAAAAAATTGAGATGCAAAAGTGTAAAATGTGACTCCTTTAAAGGTTCTATTCATTAAAACTTAAGAAACAGAAGTCACCGTGTCAGTGTCTGTAACCATCTGTTAATATTCATCATGTTCTAGCTCACTGATGGATGGCACATTGGCAACAGATGATTTATTTTAATTATCAATCAAAGCCAGATAGCATGAAGATGCATTGCTTTATTCATCTTGATAAGTAAATAACTTCAGTCCAAAGATTATTCTCCCTTATGGAGCAGGGTTATTATAGTTAACTAAAACTGGAAACCATGAAAATTTATTTTGGTACTTGAAATAAAATAAATGTTAACAAATAAAAAGGTTATTTTATGCAAGGCAGCATTTCTCATTTTAATTACATTTTTTAATAACGTGATGATGTACTGCAGTAACTAAAATGGAAATAAAATAATAAATAACTATATAGACATTTTTATTCAAAATGACACAACACAATTACTAAAACTTTAACTACAATTTAAAATTGGAAAATAAAATTCAAAATATTAATATAAACTATAATAGTATCTCACTGATACTAAAACAGGACTGTTACACTACATTCACATATCTAATGAAACGCTTAACTCTTTTTCTCACAAAAGAGCCTCGCCAAACACAGCCGAAGAAACATTGGCGCAGAAGGTGGACCTCCTCCATTCGTTCCCTTTGGACAGGTCAGGACTCCTTCAGCTTCTTTCATTGTGACCTTTGACCTTCTGGTTATTTATGAGGTTGATTTGATTGTAATTGGATGGATGGTGTCTAAGCTGCTGGCATCTCTCTGTAGAAATGTGCTCATAAGGAGCAGGTGGACAGCAGAGCTCTGGACCAGAGGAAGACCCTGCAGAGCACCAACGCTGTCAAATCTGACGACAACGATGAGTTTGAGAAACAAAGAATCGCTGCTATTGCAGAGGTCGCCAGGAGTAAAGAGGTGTGTTTGATGTTGTTCTTGCGAAATGAACATACAGCACTGTTAGGAATTATTATTATTTTTTATTTTTTTTAAAGAAGCCTCTTTTGCTCTCCAAGGCTACATTTTATTTGATGAAAAATACAGAAAATGTTAAAAATATTATTGCTATTTAAAATAATTTTTTCTATTTCTATTTCTGATCAAAGCTGTATTTTCAGCATCATTACTCCAGTCTTCAGTGTCACATAATTCTTCAGAAATCATTCTAAAATTCTGATTTGCTGCTCAACAAACATTTCAAACATTATTATCAATGCTGTAAAAAAAAAAACATTTTAAAGTGTATTCAAATAGAAAACTTTTAAATTGCATTAATATTTCACAATATTACTGTTGTTTCTGTATTTTTTATTTAAAAAAATGCAAATACAGACATGAGTAGAAGACACTTATTTCTGAAACATTTAAAAATCCTAATTATTCCAAACTTTTGACCGGTTATGTACATATAACCCTCAGATTGTAGTTTTTTTTTGCATTGTACAAAGATGTGTGACCCTGGACCACAAAACCAGTCATAAGGGTACATTTTTCAAAATTGAGATTTATACATCATCTGAAAGCTGAATAAATAAGCTTTCCATTGATGTATGGTTTGTTAGGATAGGACAATATTTGGTCGAGATACAACTATTTGAAAATCTGGAATCTGAGGGTGCAAAAAAATCTAAATATTGAGAAAATCGCCTTTAAAGTTGTCCAAATTAAGTTCTTAGCAATGCATAAATTAAGTTTTAATATATTTACGGTAGGAAATTTACAAAATATCTTCATGGAACATGATCTTTACTTAATATTCTAATGATTTTTGGTATAAAAGAAAAATCAATAATTTTGACCCATACAATGTATTGGTGGCTATTGCTAGAAATATACCTGTGCTACTTATGACTGGTTTTGTGCTCCAGGGTCACATACTGGAATTTCAATTCAGAATACATATGATTTTCATCCCCTGCAACAAAGTAGCACCTTTTGATAATGAAATATTGATATATTAAAGCAATGTGTAATTGAATTTGTTCATTCTCATGACTGCGTCCTTAGGCCATGGGTGAACTTAATATTCTCCGATATTTAATTAAGAAATGTTTGATTTTGAGTGTGTAATTACAGATGTAACGTGATAAGTGAACACCACATAAATTATTAAACACTTTGCCTCGGCAGCACCTGGGCTGTGTTTCAAAACTCATTTTGATTTGAACTTTTAAAGCACACTTATGATGTCCAGAAATGCTGTTCGTTGTTCTATAGTTGTGTTATTAAATTAATAGAAGAAATCTGATCTAAAAATGCTGGAGATGCACCAGTGTCTTATGTTTTTTCATTGTGCATCTGTTGTCTTCTCTTTGTTTGTGATAGACGCGTACGTTCGGCGGTGGCGGCAATGCAGGCGGAAACCTCGCCAATCCAGGATCCACCTACAAGAACCGAGACACCTATCAAAGAAGACGAGAAGAGAGAGAAAAGCCATGGATGGAGAACAAGTCAGAAGGAGTTTACAGAGATTTGGTGAGATCAAAGATCATCGTAAATAGATGTAAAATTGCTGATTTGTCAGCAGTTTTTAAGTAGGAAGTTCTTCCTCATGAATTGAACTGTTAATGCTGTGAAACACGGGAGAAGATCCAAATAGACTGAACGCAGTTATCATAACTTCAGATCCAACATCTAGTTCAGTAAAATCTGCAGCTGTTTTCCGGCAGTCCTCACTGAGAGCTAAACAGCTGTGCTTTGATCACTTGTTGGTCGTCCACCGACTTTCCAAAACCAATGAGTCTGTTTAAAATGTGTCGTTACTAGATTTAATGTGTTGTTACTTTACTAAGCAATCACATTGGATGATAAAACAGGCCAAAAAACTCTTATGCATCATCATCATGATGAGTCTTACATAGACATGTCACTCATATTGTATTTTCTTCATGAAATGTCAAATTGGGGTTGTGTTGCGCAGGCTCCTTCCTTGAATCCGCCGGCCGCGCCGTTCTCAAGCCCGCCTTATAATGGGTTTTAATGTTTTTGTCTCGTCGCTCCGGCCGGGACACGGCATCATAAGGTAAGGGGCGTAACATTTCCGTTACACGCTTGAGGTATTTGGCCAATCACAACGCACTGGATAGCTGGCCAATCAAAGCACACTGTGCTTTTCAGAACAATGAGCTTTGTAAAAATCGTCGTGTTTCAGAAAGGCGGGGCATAGAGGAGGAACAATAATGTACAGTATGTGGAAAATAACGTTTTTTTTTTACTTTAAACCGCATAAACGCATTGCATTACACCAAATACACAACAATGTTCTTTTTAGCAACATCATATGACCCCTTTAAATTCATTTAGAAAGTACAAAATCTTACTTTGTAAATTGTATCATTTTGACTTTGAAAATATGGGTTGAACATTTCTGTAAGGTGTTTTTTTTTTTTGTGCACTAATGGATTCAAATTCTGCTGTTTTCACTTTTGTATTTCTTAATGGGGTCCTATTATGCTCTTTTACAAAGTCTTGATTTTGTTTTGGGGGTGTACTAGAACATGCTTT